GTTTCTGTGCGAGGGCTTTCTCTAGTTGTGGTAAGCGGGGGCCACTCTTCATCGCTGTGCGCGGACCTCTCACTATCGCGGCCTCTCTTGTTGCAGAGCATAGGCTCCAGACGCACAGGCTCAGTAGTTGTGGCTCACGGGCCTAGTTGCTCCGCGGCATGTGGGATCCTCCCAGACCAGGGCTCGAACCCATGTCCCCTGCATTAGCAGGCAGACTCTCAACCACTGTGCCACCAGGGAAGCCCCAAGGCATTGTCTTTTAAGTAAACTTTGCTTTCATATAAGAAAGAATACCATGAAGACTGAAAACCTCAAATCCTGTATTGAAACAATTCTAGTTATATAAACTATTAATAGGAACTCTATGATTTGTTAGAGCTATTGATGACTGTTCCTCCAGCCTTACTTTACTACAGTCTGTAATCACTGGCTATTTACTCTTTGACCTAATAGCCATCATGCTTCTAGCCCAAATCTACTAATTATCTGACATTGGAAACATCATACCCTAGAAAAGATTCTAATAAAAACCAAGTTGTACTCTATATTGCACAGATTCATAATGTGCACATGTGTATGTGTGATTTATCCACATACAATGTTAAAGAAATATCTGTGGGGAGGGTACAGGAATAAGAGCCAGGGCATATGAGTCACAGGCAGAGGAGAGAGCAAAATGCAAGGAGCAAATACAGGGATACCCACTCTTTTAAAGAACATACAGAAACGAAGTGTGAACAGGAAGGAGAGGCATTTACAGTTTGATATTGCCCATGTATATCATAAATAGCCCTGATTGAAGGCAGCTCCAATAATACATCAAATTCTATAAATCATTAATTTTCAAATCTCTCTCTCCCATTGGGGTAAATCTGCATTTGCTACAAGGCGAGAGACAGTTTTATTTTGGCTGCTCAGAGCACAACCTTCTCTGAAAGCACATGAAGAGAGAAATTCCGTATCGGCCCCTGTTCTTCTTAGGGCTATGAATGACTTTGCCTCTACCTAAACTTGCTTAGGAAAGGCTAAGGGCATTTATCTTATTCTGGTTCTAATATAAAATGAGAAATTTTGGATGGTTTCATTTTTTTGTATCTGTCATCAGAGAAGTGGGGATGTTAATGCCCACCCTACAGAGGTTTTCTTATGGTACATCAAATAACATGTGGTCTAGCAGGTAGCTAAACTTCAGTAAAAGGTAATGATGATAGTGATAATGATCAGTGTCTCACGAGACAGAGGTGAGTGAAAATGACCTGATTCCATCATGCTTGGAATCATCTAGTTCCATCTAAGTCTCTCTACTACCAAAAACCCTTACTGTAGATCAAGCCTGGGTCCATCTGGGGATTTGTGAAGCAACATTGGCTCCTCCAGAGCCCCAGCTCAGGCTGACCTGGTAACCTCTTGATGTTACCACATTACTTATTCCTACTTCTTTTGTGAGGCCTAGGAATAATTTTTGAAACAGTAGCGATAAAAACAAGTTTCTGATGAAATAATGAGCCTTCCTTATTTTGAGCTTTCCTTTGATGCTTGCGACCTCCCTCCCATTGTGGCTCTTTGTCCACCATTGAAAAGGCCAGTGTCCTCAATTTGTGCCCAGCTGGAAAGAGAACACTGAGCTGAAGAGTGCAAAGAAGCAAAGAAATCACACTGAGATGATATTTTCCTTTATGAGACATTGCAGCAGTAATAACAGAGAGAATGTCTTATGAGCTGGCCATCAGTTTCAAATACGGAAAATGTTTCCTGCCTTTGGGGCAGTCATTATGCCCTTACATTTTAGATGTCACTAACAAAGCAAGTGAGAGGTTTGTCCTATATAAATAACATATTTAACATAAAGAGAGAAAAGAAAATGATAAAAAGGACTGCTTCCTAAATCCTGATATGTGCCAAGAGTCCTGCACATTTGGTAAGAGAGTCGCATTCTTGATCCTGATGCTTTATTCTTATCCCTCTCCAGTTCCCTTTCTTTTTTTCATAATGTCTTGCTATTTTTGTATGATTTTGATACCTTCTTTTATGTCTTTAATTACTTTCAGTATACTTATTTTGCAGTCCAGATTGTTCTATCACCTGAAGTTCTCAGAGGTCTAAATCTGCTGTTTGCTTTGTCTACCACTCTCACTCATGGCTTTTAGTTTTGTAACATGTCAGTACATCTTTGGCAGGGCTTTCTCTACAAGAAACCTAGGTGACCTATATGAAGCTGTGGCCCTCCAGAGTATTTCTGGATTTGCTCCTGCCAAATGCCACAAGAATATTACCAGCTTGAGACCAAGTTTGATTTTCATTCTTCAGCTTACAGGTCACTGAACCTGGTGGGTAGTAAATATGATAAATTTCCAAACCTGTAAAGCATAGTCACAAATTCTCAGGGGAGACTTTCTGAGAATTTCCCACCCATGCGCCAAGAAAAGACAAGCACCCTGTGATAACAGATAGATTTATTTTCCCTAGGCCATCCTTTTAAGGGTCACAATTTTACATGGGAATTATCCATTCCAAATTCCTGACTTTCATGGGCCCTGTCCCCATAGGGGGTTAAAACCTAATCCCTGCGGTCACTGAGACTGGGAAGTACTCCTCAAGGCAGATACATTTTCCATGGCTTACTCCTCTCATTTCAGCTCCCTCTTTGTACCTGAAACTTGGGGAGTTCTGTACTTGCAATCTTAGCCATTTTTTTTGGCCACGTAACATGGCTTACAGTATCCCAGTTCCCCGACTAGGGATTGAACCCGGGCCCCGGCAGTAAAAGCGCCAAATCCTAACCACTGGACCATCAGGGAATTCCCCTTAAGCCATTTATTTAAAAGACTGTATGTTCTATTTTATTTGGAACATCTGAACATTTTTGGTGGCAGCGTTTTTCAGATACCTGTTCCACCATATGGCTGGAAATAGAACTATCAATTCATTCTTCGTGCTGCAGCCAGAGAGAATATTTCAGCATACAAATTTGATTTTGTTATCAGTCTTACTTAAAACTGGAGTTGCTTCCCAATGATCTTAGGGTGGAAACTAAAATTCATAACCTACAAGACCCTAAATGGACATTACCTACTTCCCCATCCTCATGTTGTACCATATCCCTTCTCATTCTCTGTGTTCTACTTACACTAGGGTTCTTTCCAGTTCTAGAATGTACCTCACTTCTTCTTACCCTAGCAACTTTGCACATTCTGTTCCCCCTTTCTTGAACACCCTCACATTCCTCCAGTTCACTCACCCTTTAGATCTCAACATAAATGTGTAATTGCTGTTGTCTAGGTAAGTTGTCTAGTTGTCTAATATATGTGTATATTGACCCAGGTACCCTCTCCTTTATTACACCTATCAGAGTTGTGCTTTTTCATTTATTTTTGTAATTATTTATTTAATGTCTTTCTCACCCACTGGACTTCAAGCTCTGTGAAGGCAGGTGCCATGTCTGTTCTTGTTCACCATTTTTATTAGTCAGTAAAAGTAACACTAGCTTCTACCTTCACGCTAACACAAAAAAGTCCTGAAATCTCAATAATTTCATAACATAAAATTTTATTTCTAATGCCATAGTCAGATGCAGATTAGCCAACTCTTCTCCAGCTGGACCCCAGAGACCCAGATTGTACCACCATCTTCAGCATGTTGCCATCAAGGTCACAGTGGAAGGAAAAGAGAACACAGGATCTTGTGGGAGATTTTTATGAGCTAGACCAGGCATGCATCACTTCCACCCACATTCCATTGGAGGGAACTCAGTCATAAGGCCCTATTACAAAAGAGCTGGGAAATATAGATTACCTATGTATCCAGGAAGAAGAGGAGAAAATGGTTATCAGTGAGCACTCAAGTCTCTGCCACACCATTGTATTTTCAGCAAAGAACAGTTCCTGACAATAGGAAATTCTCAATAAACACTGAATGAATCAACAAATGGATGAATGAATGGATGGAGGATGGATAGGTGATAGAGGGTGGAGGATGGATGGATGATTTTGTTGTCAATGATTCAGCTAGTCTGTAAGTTCTTTAAGCGTAGAGACCATATCTGTATTGTTCATCATGATAGAGAAGTTTAGGGCATATATTAGGAGCTCACACAAGAATAAATGATCCCCACTACTTGGGAGATTTCGTGGAAGAGATGGACTCCTAGTGGATCTTTAAAGAGTATGGAAAAAATTGGAAAAGCAATTTAAGAAGTGAATTTATGAAGGAATAGATAGGGGAAAATGTAGAAGAAAGATTAATATGAATATGGTTGAGAGTAAAAAAGGAAGGAATCAGTGGAGAATGGAGAACCTTAGAGGGTAATGCCTCACCAGGCTAGTGTCATCTAAATACTGTGTCTGCCAAGTCCCTGACTCCATCATTTTTTCTTTTGATGTATTATAGCCTTACACCTAGGAATAAGGGTGCCTCTTTAGTGAAATAGCACCTTTTCCCCTCCCATTTTGACCCTTAGTGTTTAAAATGAGTAAAATGTGCTCTGGAAGTATGTATTTGGATTAGTCAGAAGTTGGTACTACAGAAGACAGTTTGCCCCTAACCATGCAGAATGGTAAACCACACTAGTTCCAGCCCCAGCTGTCAGGCCAGGATTTCGCCCTAGCCCTTCTCCAATCAATACATAGGACTGCCTGGTGCCATCGGGAAGGAGCTGTATTTTAAAATTGAATGAAGTAGGACAGCCAAAATCTTTCCATTCTTTATGTTCTCCTCTGCTTTCTGCCCAGGAATGGGGACCCCTGAGATCTGCAGGTGAGCTGTATGAGGGTGCCACTCTCCCCTGACCTGAGAAGGGGCCAGGGCTACAAAAGTAGCCAGCCCTACATTACAGCTTCTGAAATGCACTGTCAGAGTTAGTGACAGGGGAGCCGCTCTACCTCTGGGGCTACAGCAGTGCAGTGAGCTTTAGTGGATCAATACTTTAGTCTTGTCATGCTAATTGCTCATTGGTTGACATTCATGATCCTTCCTTGCTCCCTCCCTATGTAAACTCTTTACAGCTGGAACAGCGAGATGCAAAAATCCTGAGCCTTCAAAGCCAGCTCCTGAAGAAGAGAGAGGGCCTGGCAGCTGAGGTATGGTGCTCCCCTATTTTCTTGCCCCCCGCTTAAAAAAGCTTCATGTGTTTCTGCATGTGATGGTGTGATAGGGAGACGCACGAAAAAATGCCTGGGGTTAACACGCCTGCAACAAGTAAATGGTATTACCTTTTCAGAACAAAACAGTATTTCCCCTCCTTCCACTCCTCTTCCACACCCGCCCCCCCAAAAAAAACCAGAAAATAGAAAAATACCCACCCTTTCTATGAGTTTGGTTTTGGTCCTTCTTCTGTTTTGGTGAATCATTCACCTTCCACCAGCTCACAATGAACATGTATCTGTACTGTCCTCTTTGCTCCCTGACTAGGGCATGTCAGACCGAGCTGCCATGTGTGTGTGTGTGTGCATGTGTTTGTGTGTGTGTGTGTGTGTGATCACGCCTACCATATTGGCTTCCTGTCCCTGGAACATCAGCTTTTCTAGCTGGCTGAGCCTGTCCCCACAACGACTGTGGCCACTGAAACCACACCAACTCCTACCCTGTAAGCTTCAGGCCTGTGCTATGCAGGGTTTTGTTAAGCCGTTTAGTATTAATTGATTTTTTTTCCATTTTTTTCTTTCTTTCCCTGGGCGGGTCAATAGCTGGATGCTTCAGGAGCAGAGGATCTATCAACTGCAGACCAAGCATAGGGAGACGCAGGCAGACCTGGAACAGAAACCCGGCCAGCTCCAGCCGCTCCAACAGTTCTTGGTAGCCAGACAGTCGGCAGCAGGAAGCATGCCACGGGCCACGAGGCAGGAAATGACCCAATCCTCGAGGTCTGGTAAGTTTCCTCACTTTTGGAAAGTAAGGCAAATGATAACCAAGCCTGTTTTTCCTTCCTTGAAAGGGTCAGCAGCATTTCTGCTGATTTCAGTTAATGAGTTAAAGATCAAAATCAGGATGCCCCCCACAGATCTGCGAGGATGGAGGGGTTGTGAGGGAAGAATGGGAGTTTGCGGGATAGACGAGGGCTAACCAAACTCTGATCCTATGCTGAGCCACTGCAGCCAAGCAGATGTCCTGAGTATCGATCCCTGCATCTTATTGATTTCCTCTTGGGGCCAAGAATGGGGTGGACCTACGGAGGACAAGAGGAGAACCGACACCCTCCCAGAGGGCCATGCAACCATAATCAGTGATAACAGTGTTAAGTGGTCAGCCTGGAGATGAGGTTTGCTCAGATCTATTGATCTGCACTCCCCTGAGATATAAATCCTTCTGAATTCGCTTCCGTGGATATAAGTATTTATAATTAAAATAGCCTAGGAGCCTCTTACAGTCACAGGGAGAGTGGCCCATCCCAGGGTGGGGTTTGATATCAGTCTCTTCCCTCTCCCTACTTTGTGCACTCTTCCCACTCTCTTGCATCTGTTTTTACATCTCGTTCTCTCTTTTGAACCCTATTTTGCTCACCCTCTGAGTGACAGGCACAATGTCTCAGGCTATCAGAAACTGGGAAAAATCTATTCTTTCTGAATGCAGCCTCCAGCTGAGGAAGGAGTGCCGCTCTCCCCAGTCAAGGCTATAGTTTCTGCATTCAGGAGCCTGGACTCAGAAAGGAGTGGGCTGTTTGGGGAGTGGGGACAGTGAGGGGAAGACTTCTTTAGTTGTTGCTTTGTTCTTGCTTTCATTGGGGCATCAGATTGGTTTCGGTAACAAACAGCTTTATCGCCCAAATGTGTTAACCAATGCCAAGACCCTGTGTTGCCTTGCTCGCTATGTTAAATCTGGGAGGATAATTTGAAGGGTCCCACACTCCCGTTTCTCAGCACCTCATAAATCTAAGCTCACATGAAGTGAACAGAGCATCCCTTACCCAAGGGAAAAAGGAAGGATGCTGAGGACTTATTTAGGAGCAAAGCCCTTGAAGCCAGCCAGCAAGAACAAAACCATTGACCAAATCTTTGTCCACTGAAAGATCAACCTTATAGAGGATTGGAACTATTCAGCTTTAATGTTTAAAAATTTGGGTGGCAAGGAGAATGGTCTTTCAAATCATTTGCTGTGCTCCCTAAACCTACCATCTGCTTTGGTGGCCAGGATACAATCTTTTCAGTTTTGGAACTTCTGACTACTTCCATCAGGTGTCTGCCTTGCTTCAGTGCTTAAACCTTGAACTGTGTGTCTTTGTGCTTCTGCCTCAGCAGGTTTCATTAATTTGTAATTGATGCCTACAGAATTGTTTAAGGACTTCTAGATTTTATGCTAGTCAAGGGTGTGTGTTAGGGTGTGTATGCACTGTCTAGGATGTGGGGAGAATTCACTGGGTTTTGCTTCTCCTTATTTTAGAATGTTTAGTCACTCTGGTCCATCTGTGTGAGCTAATAAATGTATGTCTGTGTATCTCTTTGCTGGTGTCTGTACTTGGGAAGCAGTGAACGTGAGCAGGTTAGAGCAATGCCCCACATTTCTCTACCATTTGCATTAACTGTGTCTTCCCCAGATGCATATTAAGCTTTGCTATTTTTTTCTTTTTATTCAGAGGTGGTAGTTTCAGAACTCAAATCTAGCTCATTTGTCTCTTTTAGCAAATGATTGAAGGTTAGGGATTATTCCAATTGGCAGTCAAGGGTCAGTATTTTGGACTCCACTTGGCTTAGATAATTTATATAGAATAAAAGTCTAATAGGTATAATCACAGTAGCCTTGGCTTAAGAATGTTTCTAAGCATACTTGAGACTGATAAACGCTTCAAGCTTAAAATGCAAGAATGTTCCGGTTAGTGACTTGTATGCTTCTGTGGTAATGGAGGGAATGGGAATGCAGTTCTCTTTGTTTGATTTATATGGTGACACCCAGAACGTGAAAGGTGTATTTTACTGTAGAAATAAACTTTCGACATTGACCTAGAGAACAGAAGACCCTGGCTGGAACTTAAATTCTTCTCTGCTAGGTTATAATGAAAAGCATAATTTAAAAGAATAGATTTTTTTTTAGGAAGAAAAACCCTGACATTGGTGTCTTTCTCCCATTGTTTGTAATATTTGTCAACATGTGCTTGCATGATTTCTCTGAAGAACAAGCTTATTTGGAGAAAATGATCTAAATTTTAGAATTGAATACACTTCACTAATTAAATGTGTTTTCTTGTGCTCTTAGTGCCGCTAAATCTAAATAGCACATAAATTAATTCATTGCTGTCTTGTGCTACTGTTTCTACAGGTCATATTTGAAAGCTTGTTGCCAGCCATAGGGAAATGGAACCTTGGATGGGGAAAAAAAATCACACCTTTTATTATGGAATCATCTAGTGGCTTAGGATAACAATCTTCAGTGTCTACTCTTGTAGGAATTTAGCCCCTTTGTTATAGATATAGTCATATGCTATATTTGCCTTTTATGTTTTACTATATAATGATATATTTTTCAGTCCCATTTTCCTAATAGGTTTTACATTCAACATATTTTATAATGCAAGGATAGAAATAATTCACTGTTGTTTCTATATTCATAGTGTAGAATATAATGATATCAATATTTCACTGTTATTTCCATGAAACCATATATGTATTATGTTTCAAGCCTTTCTGAACATCTTGACGTACTCATTTGATCCTTAGAGCAAACTTAGGAGACAAGTTAGAGCAAGAGTCATTATCTCCATTTTACCAATAATAAACATGCACAATGTGAGGCAGATATTTGTGTCAGACTTGGGCCTATGACCTGAGGCTATGGGCTTCTGGTCAAGTGCTCTTTCTAAAACTGCCTGCTGCTGCCATTAATGTTTAATAAAATTTTAGCATATTCTGTATTTCCAGCACCTATTACAACCACTGACATGCATATAAGGCAAATGTTGGTCGATCTTAATTGATAATTAGTATTCTACTCATGCAAGAAAAGGTTACAAGTAGGTATTTCAGGCATCTTTCTTCGGCCTTTATCATACCACAAGTAGCTGCAGAATCCAATGTCATGACAAATCTTTTTTGTTAGCCTCAGAAATTCTGTGAATTATTAATATGCCTAATCAATAAGTTTGCTCCCCAGAAACATGCTCCTGTCAAAACATAGTGACTATATATTATTTACTATAAGTCACTGTATTTCACAAAACCCTTGCACACATATTTAGTCTTCATACTTAGCAACATTTGCTTTTAAAGAAACATTATGTAAAATTTGAAGCATCTAGATGAAGTGCTTAAAGTCAAGCATAAACTTTTCCTCTTCCTGAAAAAAGCACTGCTCCTTCCCTCAACCTTCTCACCAGTTCAGGGATTCTTAACCTTCTCTGTGCCATGAATCCTGCTGCCAGTCTGCCATAGACCTGAAGCCTATGGACCTCTTCTCAGAATAATGCCCTTAAATATACGAAATAAACTATATAGAATTACGAAGGAAATTAATTTATATTTAAATTCAGTTATCAAAATATTAAAATCAATTAAATATTTAAAACAATTTTTATGTCATATGTGTACTTTCTATTAACATGTTGATAGTTCCAGTGATAGATCTACAACTATAATTTTAAGGTGGTGATAAGAATAAGAGATATTCTGAGATTACCTACAACAATACATGATATGGCTGTAATATGAAAATAGCTGTAACCATTACTGTGGTTTGTTTCTTACAGTTATAATTGAAGGAAATGGTAAATTGTTGTTCAATATTAGTGAAAATAAAGGTGTGATTTTTTTTTTTTTCCCCATCCAAGTCCACAGACCCACTGAATTCTATCCATGAACTCTTTAGGAATCAGTGGATGCCAGGGTAGGAACCCCTACTCTAGCTAGTTCCTACTCATTTTTCAAAACTCAACTGAAGCATCATCTTGTCTAATGAACTTCACTAACCCTCTCCCAGATGGAGTTAGCTGCCACTCTTCTGTGCCCCAAGAGAACCCACAACCTCTCTACCCCAACATTTAGCACAGCACAGGGTCTGCATCAATTTACTTGTCTGTCCCTCCCAAAGAGTACACATTCTTGAAGCCATGGGTCATGGCTTATATTAACACTACCCAGCACAACGTCTGGCACATGGCAGCGGTTCACTCGATATTGAAAAGGAAGAGGAAGGAAAATTCAATGAGGAGGAAGCCATAAGTCACAGAAAGTTAAAATTAACAAAAAATTAAAGTCAGTAGCTTAAATGTCTGCTTGAGTCAAATTTTCCATTAATGGCACCTTCATATCCCAGGCAGTAAAGATGTGGATGATGTTATGCTTCCCTTTTAGTGCAACTCGTAATTTATAGCCTCCTAAAAAATCATAATCCCATATTGAGGGACTAATAATAATAATATCCCAGTTTCAGACCTGTTTTTTTCCTTTTAGGTTCTCATTAATACAGACAAGGGAAAGAGTCTGTAGGGACATTGAGAGAAAGGACTTTCTTCATACCTTGAGCTTTTAGGGCTTTTCAGTCAAATTTAAAAAGCCAAGAAAAGTGATTTTGATTTTAAGGCACACATACAAATGTGTAAATTCTCCCTAAAACCATATGTACTTGAAAATGATTATTAAGATTTCCTTGAAAAATAGAATACTACTAATAAAAGCCTCAATTCTTAGCACAAATGCTTTGTGTAGGATAAGCATAGATGCTTATTCACAGGAACTTACCCTTTTAGACATGCACTCAACTTCTTAATATTAATGACACATAAAAATCAGCATTTATTCATGCATAGTAATGTTGTATGCACCTCTTCTTTCCCAATAATAAATACTTGCCGTCCCTACCCAAATGAATGGACATTTACATATCAATGTGAGGCTGCATATTTCTTGGGTACAAGTTGATTTTGATCTACAATGGACT